TTTCTTTTGGATTCGACATCATTTATGAAAATTGATTTTGATTCAATTTTCAAATGCTTTGTTTATGATTGCGAGGTGCTTGTTTCTTCGATTTGAGGATTGTATCTCGTATTTATGAGGATATGAACTGATGCTCTGTTTCAATCGTTTTTTTCGATTTGAAGATTGCGATTAATTTGATAACAGATTCAGTAAAAATATGATCATTTTTATTATATTAAATAATTGTTGAAGATTGGATGATATGATTACGTGACTGATACTGAAAATCGATGATTTAGCGATATGATGATTTTTAGAGAAGGAATGTGTCCGCTTTCTGAACATTAATTTGAAGTTTACTGTTATACCCCTTAATCATTTAACAGTTGACGTTCGTTAAGTTCCATTGGCTGATATTTAATCTCACAATCTCTAATTTTTTTATTAATTTCAAGGGAACCATCCCCTATATATATATATATATATATATATATATATATATATATATATATATATATATATATATATATATATATATATATATATATATATATATATATATATATATATAAATGGGAAAGGAATTACAAAAACATACAGCCCCACCTAAGCTTAGGTAATAAACCTCATGAAAATACGTTGTTTTACTATAAAAAGATCGGGGTTAGGGGATTCATAATTAACACTTGAAGATGTAGATTCAAGATCGACGCAATAGTTTTGATAAGGAAGCAAAAATATTGATTATCTTAGATCTTCGTGACAGTGGAAAAAAGTAATGTTTACTGGGGTGAAGTAATAAACGATAATGGAGGAAAGAAAACAGAGATGATAAAACGATAATGGAGGAAAGAAATGTTATCGAGGATGATATATTACCAAGTGAAAACCAAATCGGATATATTTACTAAGTTAAAACCACATATTTTATAGGTTTAGTACCTAAGCTTAGGTGGGGATGTAATATATATTCCCTATCCCCTATATATATATATATATATATATATATATATATTATATATTATATATATATATATATATATATATATATATATATATATATATATCATGCCAACTACAAGAACAATGACCCTTTACTTTTAATCATCGTACAATCTTTTCATGCTTCTGTTTTTGAGGGTATTAACTATCCTAAAATTGACTTATTATTTATTTATTTTCTGTGCTTTTTAATTTCCTTTGTGTGTTACACGGACCCATATGGTGGTATCGTATGTCTCGTGTGATTATGATTTTAAGATGGCTATCCAAATCTCGGTATTTAATGACAATTTCGTGAAAAGTTTTTTACTTTCAAATATGTACAAACTAATCTACCTTCTCTATTTGTAGATGAAGCTTATCTCTAAAATGTGAAATCCAAAGCATAAAGATGCATGGGTTAAGATGGTAAGGAAATAAAATTTCATTATTCTTTATTATGTTCCATTGTCGTAGTTTACATTTTAATTCATATACACTGACCCTAAATTCTAATATATATTTATTAGAAATGAATTAATATTAGACTTTTTTTGTAAAGTTTTAGCCAAAAAAGTTGTAGTGTCACTAAAATGATTGTTTAAATTTACTCATTTGCAGAGCAGGAATCATTAAAAAAGGCAATGACATGTTTTTTTTGTGAAGTGGTATCATCTTGCTGTTACAGGTGGTTTGTCAATTTTCCTTATATCTGTAAATTATATATTTGATTTCTAATAGTCAATTTATATGGTATTGGTGCTTTAATCTTGTTTGACAGTAAAAGATCATAAATTGTCCATGTTTGACTGCAAAATTACAGAAATTTTCTAACTGTAAAATTACCGAAATGATCACTGTGTGACTGTAGAGTTACAGAAATGGCCCATTTGTATACTTTGCATACATGGTGTCTTAATACATACGTTTTTAGCTTTAAATTCATGTTTATCTAATGTACTTTACTATTTTTATAATTAGGTGCTCGAAAGAAGGTACGAGGTTTTACTCAAAACACCAAGACATGGAACATGAGTAGTTCCCAAAAATTAATAGTGACAATCTTTTTAAAATTTGTTTTCTTATGTAGGCTTCCCTACAAGCCATTCAAGTGACTCTACAAGTACCCAAGGATCTACTGATATTTCAAATGTGTTGGAATGGTATATTGCAAACATGTCCGAAGTTCTTACCAATATGAAAATATAGGTACATACATCATCTTCCATTTGATTGTTTTTTTTCATTTACCGTATGTTGTAGTAGTGCTGACCGATATTTTCATTATTTATTATAGATCCACCAACTATCATCTTTTGAAAGTCATCAAACAATCGCAGTCATTTTTATCTTTTTCTTTCTAGAGTTGTTCTTATATACATAGTCGATTTGTGTTCAACGTTTAATTATTTACTTTCTTAATTATATCTTATTTAAGTGTGTTTTGAGTTATCTTTATTTGTGTATCTGACAGGGATTATTAGTATTTTATTCATTACGAGGTTGTTCAAGATAAAATGAAGTTTGGTGAAGAAGTTCAAATGCAATTAAGTTTAAAGTTTTTTTTTTCTTTTGTTTAGATATTTTCACATTTAGCGTCTATGTGTTTCGACATTTAGACTTGTTTGACATTGATGAAAAACAATTGATTTTTTATTATTTTTGATGGTTTATAATTGTAATTAGCCTTTTTATACCGTATAATAGCTAAAAAATGTGTCACTATTAATAGTGTAATTCTAGAATTGCATGAGTATTTAATGTCATAAATTATGTGCCACGGTATTTTTTTTAATTTTTTTTTGTATCGTGCCAATTGAAAAGTGCCACTAAAAGTAACATAAATTACAATTTCGAAAAGGTATTTACCGGCACAAAATATATGCCACAAAAAAACTAATTTTCTACTGTGGCAATTAAAGAAGTGCCACTAAAGCCCTAAAAGGCTGCAGCGTCAAAACGGAAAAATGCCACTTAAGGGCTTTAGTGGGAGCGTTTTTAATGACACTTTTTATTTGTGCCGCTGATTCTCTCGACATCCTTTAGTGGCACTTTTTGTGTTTTTAATGATGCTTTTTGTGTGCCACTAAATGACACATTTTTTGTAGCGTCTACATATGAATGATCATGTGTTAAGCAAACAAAGAAATAAAGTCAAGGTTGGCCCGAGAGAAAAAAGGGATTATGTGCTGAATTGATCATGGAGAAACCATGCTTTTTTAGACCGCAAAGATTTGTAATTGTAAACATGGCAACTATTCAGTATGATTGTTGTGAGTGAAGTTCATGTCTGGATGATACCTCAAGCAACTTCGGTTATAAATCTTCTTGTGCATCATCATAGCTTTCATTCAAAACGAGTACAACATAGTAGTTTCGATGTATGGACATTGCAATTCATAGTACTTGACTAGAAAAATAAAAATGAGCCACACATAACAAACAGTAAACTTAAGCTAACTACTATAAAGTACGTAAAAAAAACATGTTTCAACCCCAAAACGAATACATATTCGACAACTCCGCATTTTGGACTAGGGTTTTAATTTTAGATACGGTTATTGCATTTTTAACTATATAAAACTTAACGTGAATCTAACTAGTCTCAAGTCATAGATCATAGTAGTTTGCTTCAAAGTGTTTGAGATAAATACGTAATCCAAAATCAGTTATCGGGATGTGGTGGGTATCATATTCTAAATTTTCCTTAAATACGAGCCGAACAGACATCCATCAGACTCGGGTCCAAGGCCCATTTTGCATTGCGACATCATTTCTATGGATGGACAAAATCTAGATCATTATCTTATATTCAAATATATATATATATATATATATATATATATATATATATATATATATATATATATATATATATATATTGTGGCCATTTATGTGATTACCACAAATTTTTTCTATATATGATGAATTTAAAACACATATAAATATTAGTTTTTCAATAACGCACAACTAAAAATAAGTTATTTGTTAAGTTCACCTTAGATTCTAGAACATGATGGTTTTGTTGGGCTTTCAAAAGCTAAGGCTCCTGTGAATTGCCTCCAACGACAGATACCGTTTTTCCAACTCCTGTTGGGTCCCTCGTGTCTGCAAGACTGCTAATCTGTATTTTATATATTGACTCTAAAAAGACTTTGACATTTACAAACATTTTTGGGACGTTTGAACCAAAACAACAAAATAATGTCACATCTAATGTGTTTATTATATAAAAAGTTTAAGTAATAATCGATTAATATTTATATACACATAAAATTCACCATGTTATCAACTACTCATTTAAAGAAAGTTTAAAAGAATTTAAAGTTATTCCGGGTCGTACACAAAACTAAAATTTGTGTGGAAATAACTAATCTATGATTTAATAAAAATATTATAGTTATTCTCAATTTATGCATTATATATATTTTACCCCAAAACGTAACTCGTTCATTATTTCTTATCATTATGTGTAATCATAAATGGCCAATCATGTTGCATAATTTGTAAAACATGACAATGTTTTTACATTAAACGATTAGAATGTATGTGTGATAATACCAACACCAATGGAGTGGGATCTCATCAAAATTTTGTATTTAAGTTTACTTTGGCAAGATAATATACTAAGATGGAGACCACATGGGAAGTTTTACTGTTGAACCCTTTTTATGGGAAGTTCTATTGTTGCACCCCTTTTACTATTCATCTTGTAACATATTAATTATATATAGTATATAAAGAAATATTTTCTAAGCATGTATTATAATTTATGGATAAAGAAACCTTTAATAATTTACCAAATAAGTTATTATGTGATAATATAAACCTCAAACAAATATCTTATCTGGTAGTAGATCAGAGTGTCAATAGGTGTGGGTAAGCCATCACTATCTAGAAAATGGTTTGGTAAATTTTATTCCAAAATCCAAGGTTAATTATGTAAATTCGCTCATTTCTTGAACTTATATATATGTGCATCATATCATAGACATCATCATCGTCTTCATCGCATCACCTCCTTCGTCTCTGTAACAATGGAGGAAATGTCGAATCACATCAACAAACAAACACCAAAAACCAATTTCATTAAACTCAATAACATCGTCTCCATTTTCATCTTCATCATCTTCTTCTTCTCATCCAGTGTGTGTCTCAGTTCTTACACTCACCATTTCTCCTCTTTCGACAGACATTACATCTTCCTCCTCTGCAATGGAATCCTGGTTTTCCTCATAATGAACTTCGATTCGACTAAAAGTTCTTCACCAAAAAAAAATCAATCAGTAATCACATATGAAACCAACCTTCCGCCTCTGCTAATCTCATCAGCCATGGAAGAACAAGAACAAGAACAAGAACAAAAACAAGAACAAGAACAAGAACAAGAACAAGAAGAAAAAATCGAAGAAGATGATGAAAGCATTCATATTGGTTCTCATGTTTGCGTAGTTGAAGATGATTATGTTGTTTCTGCCGCTCAGTATCAAATTGAAGATCAAAAGGCAGAGATTCATTTTGTTGTTGATGAACAAGAAATAGAGGAATTGAACAGGAGATGTGCAGAATTTCATAAGAAAGATGAAGAAAAGAATTAAATCTGAATCATTTCTTCATTAGAAATAAGTAAAACAGTTTAATTTTAGTGTAAACTAACAGGTAAAGCCTCGACTTTGTTTTTTCTATGTAGTATGAATTCTCTTGTTTGTGTTATTTAGATATCCAACTACTAAAAAATATTCAGTTTAGTTAATCACCAAATTTCAAATATGCAACTACCAACTTCAATTTTCGGTATCACTCATAGTAAAATATTTGACAAAATTACATGAATAATCATTGTGGTTTACTAAAGGTCACAAACTCATTCTTTATTAATTTTTTGACGAACGTGGTTCATATGGTTTCCAAAACTTGCTAGAGTGCTAACACCGTTAGTTTTCATCCATTAGTGTAAGGGTGATTTGTCTTTTCATGTTGCAGAAACTGAGTTTGTAACCATGCGTAAATCATAGAGACCATTTATTTATTTTATCAATATTTTATGTCACAACTCGCATTTTGAGCTAGGAAATTCTATTCATGCGTAAACGACTTCTAGTGTATCTTGTGACTCCAAGTTTGATGTTATACATATTACTCACTCAAAAACAACAATTCGAATCAAAACTCACTCGTGAAGCCCAAATCCTAATTCAATACATTTCATACACTCAACTATGGGTTTGTAACCCTAATATCCCAGTTCAAACTCAGAATGGACCAGGATCCCCTTATTGGGCCTAATGGGTCAATAAACTCATAACTTGGTCAGTATGGGCTAAGAATCCTTATATGGGCCCTAGTTGGATCTATATTCATTAAATAATAGCATTTTGGGCCATAAGACTTCTCATGGGCCTTATAGGGCCTAAAATGTCCCACTTCATTCTCATGGGCCTTTATGGGCCGTGAACAAATCTCTTGAACAATGCTGGGCCATAAACCCCAAATTTCTTTACCAAGTCGGGCCGTAAACCCCATTCTCCTATCATTATGGGTCGTAAACTCTCATATGGGCCCAATGGGCTGAAAACTTTCATGTTGGGCCTTATATTTTCGGTTATGTGCAATCTTAGCCCAACAATCAAAATTCCTTTCATACCCTCACTCTCATTCTCGGTTTGCACAAAAAAAAGCTTAACTAAATCAAAAAACATGGCCCTCATTATTAACTAGAGGATTTCCAAGTAATTACCTCACATATTTCCATGGTTAAGCAATTAAAACCTTCATGTAATAACCAACTAGATCTCTTTTCTCCCTCTTATCTAGCTCTCAGCCAAGACCCATTTCCCCACCATTATTCTCACTTCAATCTTCTTCAAACACCTCTCCCTTCTAGCACATGAAAACTCCTTCATCCATTCCATCAAATTCGTGAGCTTGGTGTGGGTTATCTCACAAAGATCTTTCAAGATCATCATTTTTGGGTAAGCTACTTTCACCAAAAAGTTTTAACTTCATGTTATGTTAAACTTACTTCTCTTAACACATCATTTCATGGTACATGTTCCTTAGAAACCACATAAGTCCGAAATTTTCTCAAGAAAGCTTACTAGGGCCGAGATCTCATCCATCCTTCACCAAAAACCGAAATCTCCAAAGCAAGGTGAGTTCATACCCCCTATTTTCGGTTTTTACTATGTTTTGGGGGAGAATAGAAGTTGTTTGTGTAGATCTATGTGTATATGCATGATTTTGTGTGTTTTTCATGATATATGTGTGATTATGTGTTATAAACTCCATGAACTTGAAGATCTACTAAAATGTGATGATATTTGTAGAACATAACACTTCTTTCAACTCATTATGCAAAGAAAAGGTTTAAAAATACATCAAAGTTACTTAAAACTAAGAAATTCGCATAAGAGGGCCAAAAATGACAAAATAACCTAAAATGAGGTATTTTTATGTAACTCACGGTTTTAAGGGACCAGAAAGGATGTATTTTGATAAATATAAATCTTTATGGTATTTGTGATCTTAAAAAGGGCTAGGAGTGTAAAAGTTCATAAATGGGCTTGTTTTGGGCTTTTACGAAATTTTGGGCAAAAATTGTAAATTTTTGGACTTTCGTGGACTTAAGTGTCCTTTTAAACAAAGTTGTGCCAAAAATGCAAGTTTTCGATAAAAAGGGCTGGAAATGTAAATTTATTTAAAACTTGGGCCAAAAAGATAACTTTATTGATAGGGGGGCTAGAATGCACATTTTCATAAACTTAAGCCAAAAATGATATTTTTGACAAAAGAGGGTTAAAAATGTTATTTTTACTTAAAATTAGCTTTAAATACAAAATTTTGGTCTTAAAGGACCTAAAATGTCATTTTTACCAAAAATGTTCCATAATTGTAAATTTTCGGTTTTTAGGACAAAAGATGACCTTTTATAAAAAGGTGGACTTTGTATTTCATCTTGGTAAACAACATAGCTTAAACAACCAACGTAACAAACCACGGATCAATTTCGGTATTCACGTCCTTATTGGGCCTGGAAATAATATACATGTTTAATGAGCCTTAGTTGTCCTTTTACATGTATATTGGGCCCGTGATATATATTCACATTCCATTTGAGCCTGGAAATAATATACATGTTTAGTGGGCCTTAGTTGTCCACTTACATGTTTATTGGGCCTGGAATATACCTTATATGTTTATACGCGTAAATTCGATTAAGGATCTAGTGAGACGTTTCGTTTAGCACCAAATGAGTGTACAAATGTAGCATGTAGTTATAACCAGAGTCTCCCGGAGAGAGAGCATGAGTTTGTGTATAGATCTATACGGGGGTAACGCCCCACACCTGAGTTGTTCGCTACAGTTAGACTAGGCCAGTCTAGGGTGACAAATCGTACCTTAAACAAGATGGCGTCTATCAGACGTCATGACAGGCGAAATTGTCATTATCAAGTATGGTTATAACGGCTCACTTAGAGGAATTAACATTATAAAATTTACGGGAAACCATCTTTTGTGGATAACGCGGTAACCTACAGGCGCTGGTTCTCAACCTCGGGTGTTGAGATTCCAACATTCTCTTACGCTGACAACATCGGGTTGTCTGGGGTCATTCTCTTTATATTCTCGCAAACATTAACACACATGCATTAATACAAGATCGGACACAAACATTTCAAACTGTTTTTCAGAAAATATTGGATTTTCTGGTGTTTACAAAGCAATACAAAACATTTTACACAAACATGCTTATGAACTCACCAACATTTTTATGTTGACCTTTTTTAAATTAACTTGTGTTCTCAGGAAATCGTTGAGCAGGTTGGTCAGCGAAATTACATGGATATTTTTTTATGTTTTGTTTTCATCATACTTTGGATATTATGGCATGTAATATTGTAATATGATACTCGATGTAAACAAATGACAGTTGTAATATTACATGTGTGATGATGATGATGTTAAGTTTCAATTATATACTATGTGATGATACTACAAGAATGAAGTCACCCAAGCCCCGCGGACGTTTCCGTCATCTGGTTCGGGGGTGTGACATTTTATGTTTATGAGTTTGTGGCTTTTCCATCCTTTTATTTTTACTTTTAAAAATGCCTCTTTGACCATTCACTTTGACCTTTGTAAAAATGTTATTTTCATCCTTCTATTTATTAATCTTTCGATTTATCCCCCATACTATATTATTTTGATTTTCCTTAATAACATTCGTTCGTTAACCTTAAAAAATTAATTTTTTTGTGCTTATATATATATATATATATATATATATATATATATATATATATATATATATAGGGTTAGGTTCGTATGAGACAATAGTATTTTGTGAGACAAGGGGACCAAATCTTGACCACTCATCTTGAATAATCTAAGGCTAGAATTAAATCACATTACACCACAAGGAAGCACAAGGAGGCGGTAACATTTTTGCAATTAAATGGAACTTCAAGATTAGAATAAGGGCATGGAGGGGCAGTAAGGGGATTTTACTGTCTATTTCATTCAGGTCGCAAAAAACACTCGGTATTCTTCTAAATCTTCTTCATTCTGATTCATAAAACCCTAATCTCGATACGAACAATAAAACCTGTTTGATTCAATCTCGATCATCAACATCTTTTGTTTCCTTCAAATTTAGAATACCTGGTTCAACATAATCAGATTCAGGTTCTAATTCTCATATAAAATCTTTTTTTTTTTACTTTAGTTCATATCTACTCCAAATAACTTTTTTTTTGTGTCAAAGATGTCAAAGGAAAAGTGAATAAACCATGATATATCTTTTTTTTATATAGCTTTCTTCAAAATTTAAATTTTGAATGTCTAATATTCTATCGATTCTATGAATTTGTAATGAGAATGCATAATATTCCACATATTTTAGTATCATATTCTACATATCTGCACCAGTTAAACACCTAGTAATTCTACATAAACCTTGCATTTCCATGAAGTACAGTATGCAAGATATTTTAAAATATGAATATGTGATATTCTAATTATTTTATAAATTGTAATGTGGAACGTATAGTATTCTACATATGTTAATATAATATTCTATATATTCTGTATATTTTCTATGGTATGTGCCATATTCTGCATATGTTAGTATAATATTCTATATATTCTGAATATGTATTCTTGCTGTTTAACTCTTTATCCCAATTTGTCATGTACATCACAATCATTTGCTAAACAGGTTGCGAACTAATGATTAATTTTCTAAAATCTTCATTGAATTGAATGTGTGATATCATATTCTACATATTTGCACCAGTTAAAGACCTTGGACTTCTATATAAACCTTGAACTTCCACGCATAATCCTATATATTTCAAAATATGAATTGTTATTACCTGATAGTTTGATAAGTCATATGGTACTTCTTAATTTGATCCATATGTTACTTTGTTTGATTATTTTGATGATCGATTAAAAATATTAGTAAAATAGTGTTCGGTAACTTAATATTCTAGGTATTCTGATTTGTTAAGTTAGGTGTTACTTCATAATTTGGTTTCGGGTGTTATTTTATTGATTAATCAGATGTTACTGTTTACTTTGATAAATCAAAACTAAT